ATTAATTTATTATTTTGTTGATATTGCAGTGTGAATTTATTTCCATTTAATGTTTAGGCTTCTTTTGAGAGACGAGGAACAATAATAAGGCAAACCAAGTTTATTACTTGAAAACATATGCTTGTGTCTGTGTTGAAAATGGGATGTTCTTCTTAACAGGTTTAAAACCAGGGCAGCGCAAAGTTTTATTCACTTGCTTTAAGAGAAACGATAAACGTGAAGTGAAGGTTGCTCAGCTGGCTGGTTCTGTGGCTGAAATGTCAGCTTACCACCATGGGGAGGTGAGTATGAAGGATGGTAACATCCTGAGGATTTTTAGCCTATGTAAAATATTAGGTAAACGTTTGTGACATTGAAATTGCAAACCTGTTGACTATAAGTCTACTAATCATGGATTTGCTTTTAAAGAAAATGAAACGAACAGTATGTAGCTTAAAAAGACAGTCTATTTCCTTTCTTGCCAAGTGTTTGTGCACAGTGGCATCCCAAACACATTGTGGGTTGTGGCAAAATAGTAGATAACTAGTTACCTAGGTTACCTAGGTAACGTCTAGATTCTCAAAACATAGGAATATAGGAACTATGTACTAGGAAAACTTTTGTCTGAAACAAGAAACACTATAAGGAATGAAGCGGAGATACTGTTCTTCAAAAACTTGATACAGTGTCAGAACAAAGGCTATTTCTAGTTCCTATTTGTTTATATATATTCGATGTTAACAGTCCCTCCATCCTTTCTTTTCTCCCTTTAAAAGCAGTAATTAGTGGTTTGTGCAGTAGTAAGTGCAGTCAATTTGTGCCCCATTACTTCCTCCCCAGAAGGCTTTATCAAAAATTGAGAAGCATTGTGTTTTGCCAGCAGCCCTTGTAATAGGTTTACAGCATTCCTGTCTCAGGGAGACTGCTTTTTAAAAATTTCAATTCAGGTTGGTCACACAGTTTTGGGTCGTTGAAACACATATATTTTGCTGGCTGATTAGGAAAGACTGTCTGTTCTTACCCTTTTTACTATGAATGTGTATTTTCTTGCAGCAAGCATTAATGATGACTATTGTCAACTTGGCTCAGAACTTTGTGGGAAGTAACAATGTCAATCTGCTGCAACCTATTGGTCAGTTTGGCACCAGGCTCCATGGTGGAAAGGATGCTGCCAGCCCTCGCTATATTTTCACCATGTTAAGGTAATCACAAATGTAAAGCAATGGAAAAGGATTGAAATATTTTGGTAGAAGCTCAATTTTTTTTTCGGAACTCTTAAGTGTGGTTTTGCACATCGATGTTTTTAATATGATTTTCCATGCATAAAAGTACAAGGCTGAAGATTGAAAATGTAGATCACTCAGATTAGTTTCTGATCTTAAACTGTGACTTCTTGCAGAAGAAGCTTTCAGTTCCCCTGTTCAGTGTCAAATCTGTTCAGTTTCACAATAGAAAGTGTTGCAACCTGGTGACAAGTCCTGCAACTCAGCATAGACTTCAGATTGATTCTTTCCCTTTGGGATGAGTTTCTTCATATCAAACTAAATTACACATAAGTAATAATGAAGACCTAATTTAATACTGATTTTTCACACCTGATAACTTGAAATTAAGTTTGGTGTGCAGAATGTTAGATTGTGTTCTTTCATGTAAATTATAGTATTGTATAAATGATGTTGCTGCTTTCATTTCCCAATTTCAGTGTGATATTTTGCCTAAAACTCCTTGTAGTTTCTCCATTTGTAAGCTTTATATGTAAGTATCAGGTTTTATCCCATTTCTCATATACGTTCTTTCTGTAGCAACATGGTTTCGTATGTTTTCCTTTTTTACAAGAGGTGCTGGAAGTCATATTCACCCAGGACGATGTTCTGGATAAGCAAAAGAACTCACCAGTAAAACCTCTGTAGCATTTTCAGAGCCTTCTAGCCCTACAGTTAGGCAAGGAAGCTTTGTGACTATTTGCATGCTGTGTTGCTCTGTTATTGGGTGACCCAGTGTCACATTGAGCTGTGTGTTTTGAATGCTTCAAAGAATGATATTTTGTAGATGTTAAATGTCATCACTTGCTAGTGTGTCAGGTACATGTGTTACTGTCAAGGAAACAAACATCATCTGTTACTAACATGCTCCTCCATTAGGAAGAATCTCCTTTTCTCAGGAGGTGTGTACATTGGATTTTCAGCCTCAGAATGGCAAAGAGAAAGGAAGATGTGAGAAAAATCTGCAAACAGATCACATCTGGGTCCAAGGACTCTTAAAGCAATATGTACTTTTCTTACTGGACTTGAGTTTAAATGGTTTTCTTCTTGTTCTTTTTTAAAGCCCTTTAGCGAGGCTGCTTTTTCCATCAGTGGACGACAACTTGCTTAAATTCCTTTATGATGACAACCAACGTGTAGAGCCTGAATGGTATATTCCCATCATTCCTATGGTTTTAGTAAATGGAGCTGAAGGAATTGGTACCGGATGGGCATGCAAACTTCCAAACTATGACACCAGAGAGATTGTAAACAATGTCAGACGAATGCTGGATGGCTTAGATCCCCACCCAATGGTAAAAATAATAGTATATCTTTGTATTTTGTATGTTTGTACTTACAAAATGAATTCCTGTCATTATAGAGCTTCTTGATTGCTGGAACATCTGATAGAATCATAGAATTAACCGGGTTGGTTTGTCCCAGTAATTTTGTGTAGAAGCTTTACTTGACTGTTGGGATGAGGCTGGGGAAGCTTACCTTGAAATGAAAACATTGCAATTTGCATTTTTTCCAATTATTTTAGAGGACTCTTTCTTCAGACTGTAAGCCTTCTCAGTTGCAAGTCTTACAGGGTAGTTAAGACATGGCAGTGGAGTAAAAAATTGTACCATTCTTTCTCTTTGAAGTTACTACTGTTTACCTTCAGCCAAACTTAACATTTCCTCTGTCTTGTCTGAATTGTTCTTTCTTTTACATATCTGTGAGCATAGGAGAAAATATCACTGCTGTTCAGCAGCTTTTGAACTGCATCTAGCTTCTGTTTCTTTATTTAAAATTTTATAAGAAGTCCCAGAAGTGTGTATGCTTGAAAAAATTTGGACAGGAACAGTATCTGTGTGAACCCATAATAACTGTAGCCAACAGATGAAATGCAGTTAATGTAACCTTTTCTTATAACTGATGAATATTGCTATTTTACTGTGTTTCCCAAGTCATAGAAGCAGAAACATCTTTTCTTCTCTACTTAGACCACAGTTCACTGAGTGTGCAGGATCAGTTTTCATGACATAGTGAATTTCCTTTTGCAAATTCTGGGGAACAATGAGTATATTTTTGTAAAAAAAAATTAATGCAATCCATTGCCCTTCCTTTAGGACTCGTAGGTCTTCTGTGTAGTCTCACAGGCAATTGAAGCTTCACTTTGGTTGAAAGAGGCAGTTCTGCCTCCATCTAGCTCCTTTCTGTATGCTGGTATGTGTTTGTGTCCACATGGTAAGCTGGATAAGGGAATCAATTCAGTTAGAAAAAATTCCCTTCCTTGTTAGTTGTGTTTTAGACTGGATGGGTTCAACTGTCTCTCCCAAACAGCACAAACATGAGGTTAGGGAAGGTAGCACCACTTCTATAAAGTTATTGTGAGACTGGGGTGTTAATTTACTTTCTGTCATGCCTTATTTTTTGCTTGGAGTTATCTTAAAAAAAACAAAGAAAAAAAAACCAAAGGGAAAAAAATCAAGACCTCACCACCTCTCTGGGTTCAGCTGCATCTTCTTAATCTCTTTTTCTGCTCTGTGGACATTAGGATACTGGGTCCTGTCACTTGCATGTGTGTATTCTGTTTTTTCTGTAGTATTTTTCCTATGGTTTTCACAGGCTGGTTGATGGATTAATGCAGTATAAAGTGATAACTGTATGGAACCAAATATTCTTCTGGCATTTTATTATATATCTTCTTAGCACTTTTCTGGTTTTTTTCTGATTTCAGCTCCCAAACTACAAAAACTTTAAAGGAACCATTCAGGAACTTGGTCAAAACCAGTATGTAGTCAGTGGTGAAATATTTGTGGTGGACAGAAACACAGTAGAAATTACAGAGCTTCCTGTAAGGACATGGACCCAGGTAAGTAAAAGTGAAATACATTTAAGTGAAACCAAAAACCAATTAAGAGTTCCGCATTAACTTTTTAAATTTTACATCTGCATGACTTCTAACACATTTTCTGGTGATTATACATACATGGAAGGGAATATGGTTTTATTCTTTTGTGTGCTTTTGTAGAAGATGGTTTTCTACTTGTGCCATCTACTGTCCATACTACAAAGAATAGCTGCCTCT